GAGACGCCACCGTTTTTACTTCCTTCCGATAAAGCTTTCGCAAATTCCTCCGGGGAAGTAAGCCATATAGATGTGGAACTAGAGCTTTCGAAGTTTAGATTTCCGATGACTTCTTGGGTGACCGGACCTGTTCTGTGTCCTATGCTGCTCATCTTGGAGTTTAACTCGATATGTTGGACCGTCATCATTGATGTTAACGTGGCTGTGTAATTGGAGCCTAATATGAACACCACGAACACCCATAAAAGAACGACGGATCTCGACAAGTTGCTTGATAATTTCTCCCCTGCATTTGCATTCAGAACAGATAATCATTTTTCCTTCTTGGGAGAGTAAGATGGAAGTTTGAGAATGCTTACAATGAGCAAAAACGAGGATGGAGAAGGAGAACCTAAACATCCTTTCAATCTGTCCGTTCGATTGCGGGGTTTGCTCGACAAACGAAGGGCGTTCGATCAGCCAAATAACCGAAGCTGTCAAGACATAAACTCCGACAATCGTAAGCCAGAGTCCTCCGGTGAGTGGTTTTAAGAAAATCCACAAGTTTCTGCTGTCCTTGGGATTTTTCTGAATAACCATTCCCACCCCCATGTCCGTGTATGGCAAAGTAAAATCCACGTACAAAGATCTGTTTGCTGTAATCGTTATGTCGCCGACAACAGCATCATACTTCTGTTTTGTTTATCCAACATGTAATAAAAAAAAAGATACCACAAATCAATGAACATAAGTTTGCACAAACGAACCAGATATAATTTAAGAACCATACCTGGAGATATACTTGGTAGACGAGTTCATTGTATGTCTCACCAATGTTCGGGTTGTTATATTCGAATGGTACAAACTGATATGGCATTTGGTACTTCAAACCGTCCATTGCGGCTCTGAAAACATCTATGCAGAAACCAGAGGCAATGGTTGAATTGGTCTGAAGATCACGGTCCACTTTCAGCAATTGTGTGAACCCATTCGTTACGGGAACGCCAATATTTAGGATCTTACTCCTCATTTGCATCATTCGACCTTTGGGAATGGTTGAAGTCCCACCAGGCCAGATTATCGTTTCGAGGTCGCCACCAGTGCCGTTGGTCAAACTAGAGAACAGATGCCTTCGATGAGTGGATCCGTGTAATTCAATGGTGATTTCGCCTGCAGATGTCCAAAAGCCAACTCTTCTTTCCCTTCCACCCATCACATTAACTATTTCGAAAGTACTGCTTGTGCTTACCTTCCCATGAATGAAGTAGTCAAAATTCTTCATCATCTCTTGCATATCAAACTCCTTATTGCAGAGCTCTTTTGATTCTGTAGTTTTATAAGACCTGAAACCGATGAATCCTTGCATCGATTCAAACACCGATGAATCATTCAAATTTAGTTTCAACTGGTTCATGGTCTTAGAAGTCACGATCCACGCATACCCTTGGCCGATCATTCCCAACCCTTTCGCTTGTTCGAAAAGACGAGATGCCAAGACGTGGGATGCATGCACGACAAATACCGATCTCTGCATTGCTCGGAGCCTATGAAGTTCTTCGATGATATCATCATCTTCAGATGAAGCAGACACTGCGGTTTTATACGCAGACTGAAACTTTGTCTCTTCAAAGAAATCACTCCAATTGTCATTATCTTCGTGGATGAGGGCAACGTCTTCCCATTCATGTAATTCTATGAAAGCAGCAATTGCTTTCGCTTCTGCAGATTCAAGTCGTGAAATAGAGATTACTGGGACTTTGGTGTCATCTCCAATTTCAGCCAAATATTTTGCTTCCAACTTTGAATTTTGCGCAAGGAGTATGACCCCGACTTTGTCATTTTCCAAGAGGTTGAAAGCTGGATTTTCATAATATAAAGGTGAAAACTTTATTCAAAATTTTTAGCGTATAAATGTTGGTCTACGGACGAAAGTCCAAACCAATTAGATTTTAATATTAGTCTATTAGATATTAGGATAGATTGCTTATTGGTGACCAAATTATTATCATTTTTCTATTCGGGTTATTGAATTTCTTTTTAAAAAATTCACTAATGTTATATATGTGTTTTTTTGTCATTAATAGATAAATTTCCGATAAACTTAAAGAAGATGGCAACCTGATAAATATAATAATAGTTTTAATCTCTAAAACTTATATATTTTATCAATTTGGTCATATTTTAAAATAATTTAATAAATTTAACTCTTAATATTTAAAATTTATATCAATTTGGTCCTCCTTATATTTCTCTATGTTAATTATATTTTCTAAATTCAAATTTCAATAGAAATCATTACCAACCACCATTGATGGTTGTCAATAACAATCATTAAACCTCAAAATGTATAAAATAATACCTTTTTGATCGGTAAAAGTGTTTGAATAATGCAATGGAAGAAAAAAAAATTCTTCACATATTGTAGTCGAACAATTATTTGCTTAAATAGGGTGATTGCTACAGTGACCACTATAGGTCTCTAGGAGCACATGGCGGCCTCCATAGGTCTCCAGGAGCACATGACGACCTATGGAGCACATGGCGACCTATGGAGCACATGGCAACCTATGGAGCACTTGACGACCTATGGAGCTGCAACAGCGAAGGAAGAGAGAAGAGTTGCTGTAACAGAGGAGGCTTTGTCGCAAGGAGCACTTGGCGACCAATGAGGTCACTGTAGCAAATATCTCAGTTCAAGAAAAAATTTGGGTAGAATCCTATATGGGGATTTTTTTTCCAATGCCCTACAAGGGCGAGGAAGCCCTTTTTGACATTTTAAACGTGAATTCAATGCTCGTAACTCTACAAATCTAGTATAGAACTCTTCAATTTCATGTTGTTTAATATTTAAATACAACTTTTAGATTGACGTAAAATCTCAATTATGGCTCCTCATTGGCGAACACTTCCATCGTTATTGTGAAACGACTCTACAAGGCCTCTAAACTTGAGGTAGGTTGACTATTGAGCCCACTCTAGCTCAGCCGCACCACCCGGGGTGTGCCACTCGATAAGCAAGTTATTATGGTGAATCGTTGGAGCAATAGAGAGGCAGTAGATAAGATAAAATAAGGGTTTGGTCTCCCGATGGAATAGAATTGCGTAAGGACCGCAGTACTCATTAGGAGGTCGAACCAATGACCTATGGAAGCACAGGGTACCTTGTCCCCATATATAGGAAATGCAACAGTGTCCCGAAGTCGAACCGAATCCGTAAACGACCTCACTTCTTTAAGGTTTTTTTCCCCTTGATTTTTTGTACTTGGAGAGGCAGGTTTCAGTAGATCAAGAATTGGTGAAGATATTAGGGAATAAACATAGGGGAAAAAAGAGAAGTGATACGGAGGAAGAAGAAAGAAGATTAAAACTTTGGAGTTTGACCTAAATATTTGATGACTTATTTTAAATTACGATCTGATTTATAAAGTATATAAACTTTAGAGATTAAAACTATTATTATATGAGGTTATGTCATCATCTCCAAAGTTATAAATGATAATAGTTTGGTGATGGATAGAGTAATTTACCCTAATATGAACATAGATACGTACGTATACTTGGATAATGGAGCAACAGCTTGCCCTAGATTTTTGCATGAAAATTTCGTCTGCATTAATTACTCTAACTTGTCGGTAAAATGGACCACTAACGCGAAGATTTAATATTTATATGGAGTATATAATAAATGCAATATAGTTGAGAGAAATATTTGATACAAATCCAATAATTAGAATATGAAGATGGAAACTCAAATTTTGGAATATAGCAATAAAAAATAATAAGTTTTGTAGAAAATAATAAGTTTGACTAAATCATTCATATATCTAAGCCTTTCGAGTTTATACTTCACAAAATATAAGTAAAACATATTTTAAACCACTAAGCATATCATCGATTAAGTAAGAGTAAGATGGCTGGAGGCAACGAGAGGTTAATTACCGGCGGATAAAGCAAGGAAAGGGTTCCCTTTGGAGTCTCTGGTGTGGAGTTGATATGAGCTATTGAATCCGGAAATCGCCTTGGAAACGCAGTTGCGGATGATGTTCCCCTCCCTCGATCCCACATCGACGATTAACCCAACACCAACCGCCTGTCTAATAACACCATCTTCGCCGCTTAGTTCACCCAGGAGAGTAAAGCAGAAAGCAAATAAGAGCAACACTTGCTTCATCATTGAATATCTGTTGCTTTTGTGCTTGGTACATCCACTGGTTTTTGTTCAATATGTAATGGAATATATATATAGGCAATGTAAAAGTAAGAGGTTGACTTTGTAAATCTGACCAACCGCCTATAGCTTTGTCTCTGTGTGTTTTTCTACGGGTCGGTTCATCTTTGAGTTTCTAGACGACCCAATTTTAAGAGTGGAAGTTTTTTGAAGGGGTAATCTCCATTGCCACGATGCTTCGTTTATTGTCTTCCTATATAGGCTTGACCCTTTAATTAAACAACAAAATTCCCTATCCCCTCTCTACGCTTCACTCAGATTTGACTTTCATCTCGTCCAACTTTTCTTAGCTGATTAAACAAACAAATCCTTTTTGGATTCATGATCATATAACATATTAAACTTTTGATGGTAGAGAATAAAATCATTAATATGGTGCTCAAGAATCATTAACTAGAAAAGGAAGAAGGAAATGAATAATAGACGATAAAAAGGAAAAGATAAAAGTTGATAGTAAAACTGACGGTTGATTTGAATAAAGTTTATTAATGCACGTGATACTATATTATTGGTGAGGCATACAAAAGGGACAGAGGAATTTTGATCCATTTTAGTGAGATATAAAATCTAAAAATGTTGTTTAAATTCTAAAAATTCTAAATTGTCTAAAGATAATTATTTAATTAATTTTTATTAATTAATTCAATTTCTCCTCTCTTTCTCTCTCTCGATTAATGGGTATTTGAAGGTTTCTCTTAACCTTCAATCAAGTCTTTGCAAGTGCCGAGAGACCTTCCTCTTTTGGTTTGAAAGTTCTAAATGTAGTTGATAACTCAACATTTGTTCCCAATGGTAGATCCAAAATACATAGATTTACATTAAGAAAGCACTCAAAGTTAAACGCATGGATACGATCTATTTAACGAAGTAAGGAAGGTCGAGGACATAGAGAAGGAAGTAAGCCCAAATGACACCCGATATTCCTCCAAAGAAGAACCCTCCGGTGAATTTTGCCCATCCATCTGCTGTTTGCAACTGGTCGGGCTCCTTCTTCCTCCCCGTCAGGGTTAGGCTCGGCGCTGTCGACGGCTCTCCTTCGTTGAACGATGCAACGCCATACATCGTCAAGCAAATGCTGAGGATTACGACTAGACCCGCAGCTGCCAATGACCCGGCTTGTCCTGCAACAGCTGTGTTCCTCAGAGGGCCCGCCTTAACGAATGGGCCCACTAGGAGGAAGCCGTGGGCTAGACCCACCTCCACGCCTCTGAGAAGTGGGTTCACTGCCGTCCTGTATGCCGGAAGGTTGGAGAGGTACCAAGCGATCAAAGGGCTTGATGTGATCGGAGTCTCCAAGCTTCCAATGAAAGGGTCACCGTTGATGGGTTGGATCACTTGATATGTTGGCTGCAATGAAAGGAGAAAGGCTTAAAAAAACATATTCAGTTATCTAACTCTCACCGATGATGGGGTTTAAGAGCTTTTACATACCTTATCAGATTGAACAGCTTTGACGGTGAAGCAAGGGGTTCGTATCTTGGCGGGCGAGGCTCTGAATGGAGCACCGGAAATTCCCTTGGGCACTGCAAGCGCTCTCGTAACAGATGATGTGAAGCTGCTCATCAGCTGACTCGCCATTGGAGAACAAGTGGTAGCCATCGGTTAATCAAAGTCTGAAAAAACAAAGGGACTTTAGAAGATGAACTTTAATTTTGTAGACATAGAGTGAAGAGAAGATGGGGGCAAAGAGTATCAATATCTGGTGAAGTTGTGGCCATGGAAGGAGATGTGTTCATATTTTTAATTGGTGGAGAGGATGTGAGAATCTTATCTCTTATCCATCCATCTATCGCAGCACCATATGTTGCTTACATGTCACACAATCCAAACCTTTTGATGTTTTATATCTCCATTTTTGTTTAATTTTAAATAAAAATATATAATATAATTTATTTTATTAATAAAAAAGAAAAAGAGGAATATGTGGAGGAAGGACTGAGGATGCCATTCAACTACACTAAACTGGATCTGAGTGTGGGGGTAGATCCTCAAATACGAACCTATTAAATCCATATAAAACTGTATTTTCACGGCTAAAGCTTGATTAAGACTAATTAATCAATTTAATTTGAGAGATTAATTCTGAAACTGAACATTATCGCAATCATCGTAATTAATTTTCTGAGTAAATTACATATTTAGTATTTAAACTATAAATTTTGATATATTATAATACCTAAATTTTTATTTTTTTAAATCATATTTGAAGTTTAATTTTATTTCATTTTGATACCCAATTCAAAATTTAACGTTAAGTTTTGAAATTCTTTTTTGAAAATGTAGGTATCAAAACAAGTCAAAACTAATAGTTTATGTATTAAATGTGATAAGTTTTTAACAATGATGTACTATAATGAAACAAAAATTAAATGTGTTTATGTATTAAATATGTATAGGTAAAAAAAGTAATTAATGCGTAATTTACCCTTAGTTTTTTTTTTTATCTATTTATAACGTTTTTGGTTAAGATTGTTTTTATGCAGCAGTTTGAGAGAGTAAAGACCGAAGAACACAATTGCACTTTGTGATGGGGAGGGCTACTAGCCAGCCAACTCTGAATTTGGAGACGATGCTAACCTTAGATGCAAAAGCTCGTAGTTAAGTTTAAATCCAAAATAACCGCAAACCGAATTGAAAAAAATCGATCACTCCAAAATAATCTGAACGTGGAATTTCAAAAGCCTAAAATAATCCAATCCTAGAATTACTTTTGAAAGTATCCAAACTTACCTTTGGGCATGCATGATCAATTAGCCTCTCCTACCTAAGCGTATGTAGCCAACACCTAAACATAGCATATGAATATCATCCTATTCGGACGCACCATCCCTCTCATTCTTGTGCAAATTCAGCAATCCATACGAAAATTACAGCAAATCAAAAATACCAAAGCATAAAACAGGGGGAAAAAAATGGATGTCCCTTTTTTCCCATATGTATGGGGTAAGGGGGAGGTAAGATAGTAGGCTGCCCCCAACACCAGGTTGAGAGCAGCTTCCGTAGGAGACCTCCAAATTATGAAATGCCCTCCGTGGGACTTGATCCCACGACCTCAAGGTTTAGAACCTTGTGCTCTACCAACTGAGCTGGATGGCTATTTCCATAAAACAGGGGACATACATATAAAACAGACTGCATATTTTAGAGGATTAAAATATCTTCGTCTACACCAGATTAAAATTAACAACTCTTTGTTTCATTTTTTGTTTTTGTTTTTTTAACACTAATCCATTCATACACTGCACATGTTTGGAAATTAGTAAAGATACTCAGCCTGATACTGGTACCCATTTCCGAAGTAGTTCCCATGAATGGGAGAGAAGTTGTAGGTGGCAGAACCAAGAGGAGAGTGGCTGTGGTTCTCAGCAGGTCCAGGATAAACACAGGGTCTGTCGTACATGTACCTATTGGTGACTCTTGGATAGAATGTTTTGTCAACAGCTACGTTAGTGACTCGGGGACCATGTCCAGCACCATTGGAACGGGGCCTCTTGGGTTGAGGTTTTGCAGCTTCAGCTGCCCTCTTCTTGTCTGCCTTAGCCTTCTCTAACAGGAGAACCCGCTTCTGAAGTGGATCAACAGGGTATTGCTCCTCAAGATTATGCTCCTCAATGCACTTGATCGCCACCTTGAGAGCGGTCAACTCTCTCTCAATAAATTCAGTCTGATAATTCAGAAGACGGTATTTCATTCTTTTAGAAAATGCAGCAGGAAAAGAATTGAAAAGAAAAAGGCTCAAGAGCATCATTATTGGCAACGCATACTCATATATTCACGTTGCAAGAACCAATCGGCACATGCAAATAGATTTAAGAAAAATAGTGTCATTTTGCTGAAGTCGGTTGAAGTAGGAACTAACTAGCCAAACCATATTCAACAGTAATGTTGATGTCACACGGATATGGACGATAAAGGATGGGGTGGCTATCCAATTGGGTAGTGGGTGCGGAGATGGATTTTATAATGTATCCGTGTGGGCGAGTGTGGATTTAAAAAATTTATCCGTCATAGATAGTGGGTAGGTGATAGATACAAAAATATTAAGTTGGTATGAGAATGAGAGAAGGGGGTATTCGCACCCGCCCCGCCTGTTTTCCATCCTTATTCACTAATGGTCTAATAGAAGTAGTAGATCAGCACTTGATACTTTCAAAATAAAAACATAAAAATAACCATTTAAATCTATCTTCTAGATCATATCACATACAACAAACATAAAAAAAATGTGTTTATATCAACTAAATCAACGTATGCTATACTTTTTGAAATATACTTCATTATGGGTATAGACACAAAGTGCCCACCAAAATGAATGACACGGATAAATTTTTCTGATCCATACTCTGCAAAGTGAAAAAGTCAACCATATCAATTAGTATCATTAAGTTATCAATAAATAATTTATTGCATTTAGTACAAAAATTATACACATTTCAAACATATTATTTTTTATAACAAAGCAAATAAAATTATAAATACTACATTTAAAAAGCATTTCAAATGTCACCTACACAAATGCCTTCAACAAATTTTATGCAAGCAAACCTAAAACATACTATTTTATTGCAACCAAACCCTAAAACATATTGTTTTATTGCAACTAAACCCTAAAACAATATTAATACATACTGTCAGAACCGTCTTTCGGGTGGACCCAGAATTGGGCTTCAACTTGGATTAAATGATTAGAGTTACCACCGATCATTTATTTTAAGAACAAATGGGTTGATCAGATACCTTATTTATTACCTCATCTACATCTTACCAGTGATATGTCGGATTCGGGAGTCGGTTACAGTCAAGGAAGGGTTAACACCCTAAAACTGCCTTTTTGGTACTACTTAATTTCTAGTTGTCTTAATTACGAAAATTGAAAGTTAAATTAAAAAAAAGGTAAAAATTGATCCAAATTACTTACCTATAATAGACTTAAACGAAAACCCTTAAAAGATAGAAATACTAGACTTGTAATGAAGCACAGAATCAAATTAAGGTAAAAAATGCATCAATATGGAGATAATAAACACAAACAAAATAAAGAAAAAAAAGAAAAAAATAAAATATAAATAAAGCTAAAAATAAGGAAAAATAAATTAATAACCAAAACTAAAAATAAGGAACAATGGAAGAAATAATTAAATAAGGGAGACAGAAGTAGAAATACAACAAACATAAAAATAAAAAAATAGAAAATAAAATTTTAAGAAGAAAAATAAAAACAATATATATATACATGTAAAATGAAAATGAAAGGATCAAAAACAAATAAACTAAAAAATGAACATGTAAATATATATATATATATATATATATATATATATATAAATTAATAGGTATTTAAAAATAATAATGAGAACAAACAAAATAAAGAAAAGAGAAAAAATAATAAAAAAAGAAAACAATCACTTCACCGAAAAAGAAAAAAAAGTAAAAGTTTGGTGAAGGAGAGATGACGGAAAAGAAGAAAAAAAAGGAGGAGGGGGCCTAGCTAATAAATGTGAGGTGTATATAATATAGTATTTACTGAAATAAGTAAAAACAATAATAATAAAAAAATACAATACATATATATAAAATATTAGGTAAAAACAACAACAACAACAATAATAAGGTAAAATATACATATACATATACATATATATATATATATATATATATATATATATATATATATATATATATACACACATAAATAAAAAATAGAAGTAAATAAAAATAAAAAAATAAATAATAGTAATAATAATAAACCAAAAATAAAAATATTAAAAATAAAGAAGATAAAATAAAAATATAATATATATATATATATATATATAATAAGAGGGTTAATTTGAAATAAAATCAAAATTGGGGTCAATTTAAAAGGAAATTCGGGATTAAATTGAATGAAATTGCCCAAAATAAAAGATTCAAAAAATGGGGAACCAAAAACACAATTCCCCTTTTTTTTAATGAAAAACACGCAGATCTAGTAAACCCGGGTCAAGTCGGCGGGTGCTCCATGGGTTGGGTATAAAACCCAATCCTATAAACAAAGTTTCATTTTTAAAACATCCCCAAAACCGATTAAAAGCCCCCTTTTGTTTTCTCTTAATTGTTCATGGGGTGTTCTTCATCAAACGAAGAACACCACCGTGGTTTCCAGATTCTGGCTGGCCGCTGTGCCGTTCATCGACGGTGGTCGGGAGGCTAGATTTGGATCGAAAGATTTTTATTCTTCCCCATTTTTTCATTGGCGTCACCCTCCTTTGGGTCAAAAAAACAAACAAAAGAAAGAATGGAAGCATCATGCAAGCGAGATGGGCAATAAAAAATGTAAAAATTGTACCTTTTATTTCGAATGGGTTTAGAAATTTTTTACAACTTTTTCGCTTCGATTTCTCAGAAACTTTTGCGTATTTCTCTAGTATTTTCCTCTCCCTCTTGTGTTTGATTTACATCCTATTTATAATGCTAAAAAACCTATTTTGGACTCCTATTGATACTATAATTTTCGGTTGGTTGAGAGTCTTATGGGACTAACTTGCTTGTTGTTTGTTGATGTTGTGAGTGCTGAAATCTCCGACGATGGTTGTGTGAGGAATGGGTCTTCGAAAAGGTGGAAGCGCGGCGTTGAGGATAAATTCTTGGCTAGGGTTCGAAAAGACCTAACCCGTTTGGATCTGGGTCGGTTCGGGTCGGGTTCCACTAGAG